CTGAGGGCAGGATCCTAGTCTGTCTGGTGTACACAGCACCTAGGATTGGGTCTGGTGCATGGTAGGTATTCATCAAAAAAAAAAAAAAAACTGTTGGATGGATAGGTGAATGGAGAACTGGCACACAGGGACTACTGCCATGCCCTCATACAAACCCAAATTCTACATTCATGTTCTGCCAAGTTCTGCAGGCACTGTACCTTGAGGGAAACAAGATGGAATAGACTCTCTGTCTAGATCTTGGGCATGTCTGAGAATAGGGTGATATAGGGTAGAGCGTTGGGACCATCACCTGAAGTCCCTGAACCTCACACCCCACATGTCTGCACATCTCTGTATACACTTAGCCCTTCCTAGGCAAGTCCCCAGCTCTAGCATTTCAAGTAAGGGTAACATGTCTCTTGTATGTCATAGAAGGTAAAGTGTATGACCCACATGAGACACTGTATCTGCCCATGGCGGCCACTTGGTTCCTTTATAGATACCTCCTTCTGTTGAAGCCTGAGATGGCTACAGTGGCAGGCAGGGTCATGGAAGGTGGTAGATAAGATTCTTGAGGTTCTTGGTGCTGTGCACGCTGTCTCTGGTCTTCCATGTCCATGCCCTGCTTCTATTGGCCTGCTTTGGGCTCTGCCAAAGCAGTGGCCAAGTTGTCACCTCACTGGGTGCAGCAAGGTTGTGAAGAGTCATGCCCAGCTACTTTGTGTGGGCACTTGCCAGGTACAGTACTTCCAAAGTCCTGGCCAGAGGGAAGGAAAGGCTGTCATTGACACTTAGGCTAGACACTGAAAAGTTGTATGGACAAAATATGCCAGCAGGCCTTTAGCATCCCAAAGTAGAAAGGCTAATGGGTTTCCTTTGTCTTACTCCATTTTCCGCTGCCATAACAGAATGCCACAGACTGGGTAAATTATAAACAATAGAAGTTTATTTTGATTCTGGTTTTTTATTCTGGAGGCGGAGAAATCCTAGAACTTGGTGCCAGCATCTGCCAGGGGCCTCTGTGTGCCTCATCATGGCAAGAAGGCAAGCAAACCCGTGGAGACAGAGAAGAAATCAGGCCCAACTCATCCTGGGCATCAGGAACTCACTCCTTTGACTACCTTGCTCCCTCAAGGGCACATCCTCATGACCTCCTCCCTCTAACCATGCCCCACCTGCCCAGTTTCTCTTAGTTCATTCAGCTTTCAAGGAATTCATTACTGATGCGGTCAGATCCCTCATGATCCAATCACTTCCCAAAATCTCTGCCTTTGAACACTGCTGCATGGGGGACCATGCCTTTAACCCATGAGACTCTGGGGAATATTCCAGATCCAAACCTTGACAGGGACAGATCTCAGGATTCACCCTCCTTGAACACCCTCTCCAGGGTCCACAGGCTTCCCTTCCACATTTGCTAAACCACGCCACCTGTACCTATCCTCTGAGCCTTGGCAGTCCCGTTCTGTGACACTCTTATCCAGGATGCTCATTTGAATCACATGGGGGACTCTTGAGCACCAACTGGTACAAATGGACCTGTTAGTCTGGCCGCCATCCCGTTAATGTAACCATTCCCATTTCTACCCATGTTCAGTAAATTTAATTAGTGTTGAAGAGCAGCTTATTTGGCAAGATGATCAGTTTTTAACCTGGGTAAACGACTTTCTTTATGACTATAAATTAAGCACGTTATATCCTTTTCATGCGTCGCGGTCGTCCTCATAAACACCGCAGGCAGTTGCTCGCAGTCTCACTTGGTTACCTTTCCCATTACTGTTTTATCATCCTCCCGGTAGGAGTGGGGAATTCATTCTGTTTTAATGACAAGAAGGAGGTTAGTGGCGAGGGGCTTGCTTAATGAGGAAACCACCCGTTGGTCAGCATGTTGCTGTGTCTAGGGATCAGATTCCGGGCCTGCCCCTGTATGGGGGTTCTCAGCTTGCCGAGGGGCCTGCTGTCAACAGCCTTTGTGAAGGGAGCTCGCAGGGCTGTAGAACTCCTTTTGTCTTAATTGCAAATAATTAGGAATCAGATATTTGCCGACAGTTGATTTCCATATCAGAGAGAACCTGAGGGCTCTCGAGGAATACAGTGGCCGCAGGTTGTTGGCACAGGTGTTTTCTTAACACTGACATCTTAGGGCACGGCCCCTGGGAGGTGGCAGGAGTCACTCCTGCAAGCTAGGACGTGGGCATTGGATGCACACACGTGGCACTGGTCCTCAGAAATATTCACTACAATCTGGACATAGGGCATTTCAAAGGAGAGCATCAGGTAGAGCAGACTCCCCTGTCCGTGACGAGTGGGCTCTAGATTGACAGCCTGGCTGAATTTGATGGTCTCTGAAGCCCCATCTGCTCTGACTCTCCAGGACTCTGGTCCGTTTTACTGCCAAAGGCACACCATCATGGAAGCACCTCTACTTCTCGCCACCTCCCTCCTGCACCCAGGAGGAGGCGAAGGAGATGCACCTGCCCAAAACCAGAGCCTGTGGGGGCCCCACCACCCCAACCACCCCAGCCCCTAACCTGGTGTTAAAACAGAGGCACTGAATCTGTGTTCAAGAGATCGACTCTAAAAACTATCATTTTTCTTAAAGCTGAGTGTCCCAGGGCCATTTAAGAACTAAAGTCTAGCCCCTGTGGGGCCTCCTGAGGCCAGCATGTGGAGCAGACCCTCTGGGAGGGAACACTTGAACTTAAGGGCCAGTCGGAGCTGATCTAACCAGAGAGATAGAGCAGTGGGGGGATAGGCACAGCCAGAGCAAAATCCCACAGCTGGCTCTGGAGGCCACAGGCTCAGAGAGGAGGCTCTGTTGCTTCAGAGAGGGGTGATTCGTGGGTTCCCATCCTGCCTGCACAGGGAAGTTTACTAAAACAGTTATCCAACGGCAAGGCTTTGTGTCTTGCCCCATCTTGGAAAAGAAACAAAGGCTGGTATTTTTAGAGCCATGTTTATTTCTTCAAGTAGCTGTCAGCATTTTCTTGGGTAACCCATTTCCCAAAAACCCAGGAGAATCCTGCTAATCAAACACACTCTGTGGCAAAGCAGCAGAGTGAAGCCTGTGGGAAGGGTTCCCACCAAGACTCTGCCTTCAGCTCCTCCCCCGCCTCCTGCTCACCAGTGGTCACCCTCCGGGCAGGCTGCAGAGCCCTGGAGCCTAGCCTTCCCGGGTAAGAGGTGACAAGCCAACAATTAGCAAAGTAGATAAAGGAGATTCACGGGCCCCTGCTCAGTATCTGCACCTTTATACTGCACCGAGATATGTTGACCTTCTAGTTTATTGCAATTCAAGAAAAAGTCAATATTTCTTGGCTTGCCATGGCTGGAGGAATTTAAATGAGTTATTGAATCAAGCAGTTAATCTGCCGATAACTGATTTTTTTTTCCTTTCAAATCCATAATGATGAAAAGCAGACTTAACTAAAAACAAGAAAAGGAGGATTCTTTTTTTCCCTTAGACATTTTAATCTCATGGGGCAGGAGCTAAGGCTGAAGCCTCAGAGTCTACTATCAGGGCTATTTTGTTTTGCTGGGTATTTTGAAGATTTAATTAAAACATAAAACAAAAGATTTCTGTGGCTATAAAATCTGCATTCATGTTTTCATTGTTTGTATTTTGATATCTCTTTATAAGTCTTAACTTTCCATCTGTTGCCATTAATGACACGTAGCAATCGTCTAATTTTTGAATTCCTCTAAAGAAGTATAACGTTGTTTGGGGATACTTGTTTGACTTTCCATTGATTTATTAGTGCCCTTGTGCCAAAAAGCCACTGGGCCAGCTGCCCTGCCCTCTAGGTTATGAGCTCTGGGCACTGCTTTCCTGAGATTCTTATGGGTATGTGTTTGGGTGCAGGGGACATCCAAAGCAATGTACTGGCTTCTTACCTACACAACGACATTGTGCTGGAAAGTGCTGAGTAGGGGAAAGGCTTTTAGTGGCACTACTAATGATGTATGTCATGGAGAACCCTGTTTGTTGTCCCTGGAGGAAAAGGCTGACAACTCTTCCTACCTAGGCTGCCCTTCCACCCCCATCCTGAACACTTGAGAGTATACTTCCTCTCTAGACTCTGCCATGGCTCCCTAGTGCCTAGAGTATCACACTTCAGTTTCTCTGCTTAGCTCTCTCAGTCTCTTAGAATCACGCATTGCCTAACCCTCTCCCTCCCACCCCTGATAAAAACTCCTACTCCCATCAGGTCTCACACCTGACACACAGGAATGCTACATGCAGACAGTTAAGGAGCCCTGGCCTGCTGTGTCTCAGAGGAAGCACCCTCCTCTCAGCCTTTGGAGTTCATAGCGCTTACCTCTTCCATGAACTCTGCCCCCAACCCCCTTTACTTCCCCACAAAGTAGCTCCTGGGCCCCCTTAGCTGTTTGCCTGGCCCAACCAGAGTTGTGTCTGTATGTGTGCCATCACCTTACAGAATGACCAGGTCAGAGAGAGGGAGAGCCAGGTCTTGCTCACCCTTGGGGACCCCTAAGGTACCTGGCACACAGCCTGGCCTAATGCCACAAAATAAATAAAAAGGGTGAAGGAGGGGAAAGAGGGAGCCACGTTGGTAAAAAGTCACTGATTTGAAGAGGTTTCTGGTCTTGTTGGCTCAAGGCTGGGGACAGTGGTCACCGGCTCTGTCCTCTGCTGTAAGACACCTCTGTGTGAGCACAGAATGGCCAGATGTTTTCATTTGTCAACTGGCAACAGGAAAACTGAGCTGAAGGTAGAACCAAGAGCTTATCAAGGGCCTTCCCGTGGGTTCCAGGTGTTGTGTTTGAGATGTTCAGAGCGAGCCATCCACCAACCGGAACTCCACTGGGCAACAAGCCCTTCTTGGCACCAGTGGCTGCCTCTTATTGGAGGGAGAGGGACTCTGTGGAGCCCCAGAGTCCCACCTCAGTAGCCTTAATTCACAGGCAGGCAGAATTGCTGGCCAAGACTCCAGAGAGCCACAGGGAGGCTGCCCTCCACCTGCACCTTGCAGCTGACACTATTTGTGTCCCCACAGGGCTCTCCAGCCACGGGCAGCCAACCTCCTGTGGGAAGAAGCTCTGCAGCCGCGGGAGCCGGTGTGTGCTCAGCAGGGAGACCGGGGAGCCCGAGTGCCAGTGCCTGGAGGCCTGCAGGCCCAGCTACGTGCCGGTGTGCGGCTCCGATGGGGTTCTCTATGAGAACCACTGTGAGCTCCACCGTGCCGCCTGCCTGCTGGGCAAGAAGGTCATCGTCGTCCACAGCAAGGACTGTTTCCTCAAAGGTAGGGAGATGGCTTTCTACCCTGTGGCTTGGAACTTCATGATGGATTCCTTTTGACCAGGATGCTGAGTCTCCAGGTCACAACTGTAAAGCAAGGAAAGAGAAAGACTGGTACTTCGACAGAATGGCAGCTGCGACATTTCAGAGATGCATGTTCTCTCTGTATCCCACCTCCAGACACACACACACACACACACACACACACACACACACACACACACTCATCCTGAGAACAGAATCCAGGTAGGTCAAACCAAATCCTGGCTAGTACAGAACTTGTGTCCATTAGGGACCAAATAAACTAGTATTATCCCAGGATCCATATAAGGTGGACTCTGGCAAGGTGATGATAGGGACCATGTTTACCCCTCTGTCCCATGAATCAGGAAATCATACTGTCCATACACTGTGACCAGATGGACACCAGCACACTGGTTCTCAAGCTGTCCTGGAGCAGTTACTGACAGCAAATCATTCCATGCCTTGCCTGTCTGCCTCTGAGCAAGATACATGGATAGCAAAACATGTCCGTGGAGATGGGACCAAAAGACTCCTGCTTTGTGCTGAGTTGGATCAGAAGAGAAAGGCCATATTGGCTTCTACTAGATGGTGAGGTGGGAACTCTGTTTAACACACTCATATATCTCAGCACCTAGCACAGTGCCTTAAGAAGATTCTCAGTGGCTCAGAGATGCTCACAGATATTAGAGTTAAGAAGCACATTGCTGTGTTGATGTGGCCCCAGTACATAGTATATGCCTTGGACTATATAAATAAAACAAAAGAACCATGCATGAATAAACTAGGAAATGTGTCGAAGGCAGAAGCACAATCTAGGCAGATGGAACAACCTCACATAAACCCACCCAATCAGAGGTGGCAGAGCACTCCTGGGATTGCATGAGGTCAAAGGCCTGATTTGGCCTTCTATAAAGGGGAGAGAGAAGAAGGATTAGAAGAGGGGCCTGCCATGTACCTGCAATGCTAGCCAACAATGGCTTCTAGTGGTCTGGGCTTTGAGGGGCCATGTACCCAAAATGAAGGTGCTGAGCTCAGCCTCACTCTTACAACCCCTCAGTATGTGACTGTCCCCAGAATGTGCATGTGGCACATGTTACATGTATGTGCAGGAGTAGTTGCAGCTGAGACAGGGAGCACAGGTGTTTTAACTGCTGCCACCTCTGCCACATGCCACTTGCCATTATGTAATGGGCCACTCTCCCACCATCATTCACCACCCGTGGCAGCGTGGGCCCTAGAAAGGAACATTTAGCCTGTGACGGGAATAGACTTGGACACTTTCATGGCTGTGCTTATGATGCTAATGCTGAGGTGCTTCAGAATCATGAGATGCATCATGGAAATGAAGCCAAAATGAGCCTAGGACAAATGTCTCTAGTCTGGAAATGCTGCCCAGCACATGCTTGCCAATTCCTTGGCAGCCGTGCACGCTAAAACACTTGACCAGTCGCTCCAGCTTTATTGGCCGTGTTGAATTTTATAGACTGATGTTCCATTCTCTGGTTTCCAATATCCCCCAAATTGCATCTTTCTGAAGGTTTTTATTTCTACATTGGAGTCTGCACTGCCTCCCTCACCATCGGTTATTCAAACAGCATTTCTCATTTCACACAAGGGAAAGAACAACAACCACAAAACCTGAGCGGTGAGGGATGATGAGGGCGAGCCAGGGAGCATGGGGGTGGGAGGGGAGCCTTGAGCTGATAAAGGGCTCAGCTCTGCTACATGCCGATTGAATCTATCCACTGAGTCCTTCTGATGAAATGAGTGTTCCATAGATTCTGTGAATAGTCACCCACTTAGTGGTGCAGAACTGCCCTCCTTGAGATCCCTCTTCAGTTTAGAGCAGAACCTGCAACTCAAAAAAAAAAAAAAAACAACTCGAGTTGCATCAGGCTTCCCAGCTGCCTGGCCTTGTGAACTTCCCTGGGCTATAAAATGGGGTTAGTGGCTATCCCTACCTGCTCCAGCTGTGGAAATAAAGGACATGCTGCACAAAGACCATATAGCCCAGTGCCTGACACATCACAAGTGTTCAGTATTAATGACATGCGCCATCATTGTTTATTCTAATCTAAACTGGCCACCAGCCTAGAGCAGTGAGATGCACAGACTGTGAAAGGAACACAGAGGCAGGAACACAGGCTTTGCTGGGAGGTTCTGGGGGATATTTAGGGGCCCAAATTGCTTAATGGTAAATGAAAAGCAGGCAGAGAAGGTACTGATTGTCAGCCCTGGATGCTGCCCTGGAGATGTCTAGCTGGAGCCAGGACTTTTTTTTTGCACACCTGGCCCCTGGGGTCTGCACTCCAGGAAAAGCCTCCAGCGCTCATGCTCGGGGTCAGCTCCAGACCTGGAAGGCTGCTTCTCTCCTCTCGAAGTCCTCTAGAGTGTGCCCAGTAGATAAGAAAGACCTGGCACCCACTAACAGGGGCTTATGGCAAGGGACAGGCCAGCCCTAAGGGGAGGAGTTTGGGATGAGCGCGTCCCCCACCTTCACCAGAGAGACAGCTCCAACTGGGAGCAAGAGAAAACAAATGACAGAGGCTCTGTTGAGAGTGGGGTGGGGGGTCTTGGGGACAGAGGAGATGTCAAGGACAACTTCCTATTGTCCATACCTTATAATGGCAGCATCTTGAGTTCCATGGATGACAATTTGTCATTTGTCCCAAATTTTCAGGGTGTTATTAATATAGGAAATTTAAAAACATCTTTTTTCCCCCAAGCCAACAAAAATTCTAGAATCATTCATCTTCTATTCTCTATCTACCAGACTTCACAAAAGAGAACTTAGAACTTTATTCTCTGGGACTTTTCTTCCCTTGGAAGCCAAAATGAGAACAATCCGTATGGGGCTGGAATGTGTAACATAAGCAGGGAAGAAACAGCAGGTTATGCTGGACTGAGCCGCTGTAGTTTGGAGTTCATCCTCTGTGGCCAGGGTCCCGGAGCCCCTATGGGAAAGGTCTCTGCTGAAGACTGTTTGGGGACCCTTGCCATTCTGCATGAGCAAAGAGGTAGCATTCTAAACCCAATTTGTGAGATAACTTCTAGTATCACATTCCAGTTGCTATGGCAATGAGTTTCCTTGTAAATGTGGGATGAAAGACACTATCATTTAGGGATGATTAGCATGTGCGAAAATCAGACTGAACCCCAAAGCACAGCTCCAACTAGAGTCTGCATCTTTACACCTCCTGAGTCATAAACTCGGGGTGCCTCTTGTTGAAGGTCAGGGACAAGGAGGGTGACATGGAAAGAAGTCTTTCTTTTTTCTTACGGAAAAAAAATGAAGAGTTGCACATTTTCTCAGCACCAAATACTACCAAGAAAATGCCAAGATATTAGGTGAGATCCACTGTTGAACTCTACCCAGTTTGTGTTCTTAAAGTTCTCTTGTTATCAATGTTGCGTTCCTGTTTGTGGGCTAGTTGACACTTTTAAATTATTTTTCTGACTTGGCTTTACATCCTACCCTGTTCAAGAAGAGCTTGCCCTTCAGCAGACACTCACCAACCATGGTTGTTTTAATACCAGATGATGAAAAATCATGGTTGGCAGTTTTCCAATCAAATCATGAAATTATGGAAGAAAGGAGAACTCTTAGAGATTCAGTTTTAAGTGGATCCTTCAGCTTCCTCGGCCATATATTGTGTTTGCAAATATCTTTTGGTGCTTCTAAGGTGAATTCCCAAGCTAAGAAGTCAGAGGAAATCAGTCTCATTTGGAGAGAGAAAAAAATTAAACATTTACAGTCTTGCTAATCCTTTTTTTAAGTGTTACTAAGCAGGCATAAAGAACTCAACATTTTGTAGATAGATCTGGCTGGTGGTGGGGGCAGGGACCACCTTTTCTTTTCTTATGTTTATTTTGTTGTTACTTGAATCTTGAAACCTAAAGAACTAGGCTCCCTACCTGGGGGATGCACTGTTGTTCTTGCATAGGTCTTTTCTGCCTTACCAGGAAAAGATACTCACATCCTGGGCTGAGCAGCTCAGTCCAGCCCTGGGCAGGAGACCTACTCCTTAGGATGTGTGAAATCCCACAGCAGGCTGTGATGCTCTCGAAAATGACAGGGGATTGTTTTAGCTTTGCCAGAGCAGTCCCTGCAGCAGAGAAGTGCTAAGGCAGGGCTAGGCTGATAAGGCAAAGAGCCAGCCCACACCATACTCTTAGACAAGGCTTGCCATGTGTCCCTTACCTCATCTGTAAAATGGGAATAATAACAACACCTACCTCACAGAGTATTTTCATGATGTTCAATGGGCTGTGCCTGCCTGTAAAGAGCACTCCTCTCTAACAGGTAGCAACAGCCTCTAGATGTTGATGATGTCATTGCAAACACTGGGAAACATTCAAGGGGCAGATGCAAGTGGCTTTTGTGACAATGCTAGATATGAACCAAAAAGCTGATGGGTCCTCCTATGAGTGAGGAAAGAGAAGAACATTGGTCCTCCATATTTGTTACTGAATGATTAGATTTTGACTTTCAATTGGTCAAATGGAATTGACACTTCCACCAACTGGCTCACTCTTTGAAAAGATAAGTAATTGAGACACCTGAGCATCTAGTGGGTTAATAGAGAAGCAAGAGGAGAACCAAGTGTCCCTGATTCCCAGCACAAAAGAAGTTCCTGATATGCATAAAAATCTCATAAAATGTCAGTGCAGCAAGAGTAAGGGATCTATCAGCTTGAGGATATAAGGGGAATGTTTAGAGAAGATGCCAGAAGAAATATTCAAGAAAGATCTTGAAGTTGGGCACGGTGGTGCATGCCTGTAATCCCAGTGACTCAGGAGACTGAGGCAGGAGGATTTGGAGTTCAAAGTCAGCCTCAGAAACTTAGCAAGGCCCTAAGCAACTCAGCGAGATCCTGTTTCTAAATAAAATATTTAAAAGGGCTGGGAATGTGGCTCAGTGGTTAAAGCCCCAGGGTTCAATCCCCAGTACCAAAAAAGAAGAAGAAGGAGAAAGAGGAG